GGGGTGCGGGCAGGACCGGGCGGCCCCTGGCCCGCCGTGCGGTGCGGGGCTGCGGGGAGGTTTCCGTGGGCCGCTGGTTCTTATATAAGCTCATTGTTTTCTGAGTCAAAAGAGGTTTTGTCTCCACTCTGGAGATGTGACAGGAGGAGGAACAATTTGCCCCATTCATCTTTAATTCTGCCTTTGGAGAGCGGCGCGGTGGCCTTCACCGACAGAGATGTTAAACCCAACCACTTCCCCGCCGTAAAACCTCCCGGGGAGCAGGTGTTGGAAATCGCCCCTTCCCCTCCTGATCTCCGCAAATCCAGCGCCACAGAAATCAAGGATAATCCAGCAGCCTCTTCAAAATGAAAACGCTGAGCCCTGATTAATTCATTTAATAAGTGACTGATCCCCTCCTCCCCTAGCACCGTGGCCCAAGAAGCCATTTTACTTCTCACTCTCCTGGGCTCGGCGCCCCCAGGGAGAGGCTGAGGCCGCAGCAGAGGCACGAGGCAACTTCCTCGTGGGCTCCTCGCCGGCCTCACCACTGGCACGCCTCCACGATGAGCTGAGGAGGGCAGTGGTCCCCGGGCCTTGGGATCGGGTGGCCTCCCTTGGGCTCTCCAGCCTCACCAGCATCCCCCGCACGGTGCCAGCATCTCCTCCACCTCCAATCCGTGAAGCCTCTGCTCCAGGGGATTAAAGAGGAGAACGAAATACTGTGTTTTCCAACCCAAAGATCAAACTGGTTAGAAGTGACATTGTTTTTACAGTTCCATCTGCTTCAATTAGGGCGCGGGGGTGGAGCAGGGGGGCTCCCAATTATCCTCATTAGAGGGGCTCCTCGTGCAGCCAAGCTCCAGCCGCGAGCGGGGAGCTCACCAGGCTCGTGCTGGTTGATAATGAATATATTCATGGCTGCGCAGCCTGGCCTTGCTCGCCTGCTGCTGCCGGAGCCCTGCTCGTTACGTGTGTTTTGGGCACTCGCTGGGAGTCTGCAGAAAACCTCTCCAAGCTCAGAAGTTTGGTGGGGTTTACCGAAACGGTGATTCTCTGGGAGCGTGGCCAACGCGGCCCCGCCGCTGCTCTGTGTCCTGCCACAGCTGCCATCAGCAGAGCAGGAGTATAAACCCAGTCTCGGCACCCAAGGCGGGAGGGCTCCTGCTGCGTCTCCCACAAATCCTGCTTCACGGCGGGGTGCCCCGGCCACTGCTCGGGGCTGGCCACAGGCTGGAGATACCCCAGCGAAGCTGCATGGGGAGCAGCACCGGCCCATCCACGCCAACAAGGAGAGTGTGGTGCTCCCTCCTGAGCCCATCTGCGTTTTTAAGCTGGCTGAGGGCATTCCCGTTCGGCCCCAAGGACCTTGGCAATCTGAATTTGTGGCCATTTCTCTACTCACAAGACTGAGATTAATTCACCACTTTATACACGGAGCTTCTAGGAGAGCATAAACTGTAAAAATGTAGAAACAAGAAAATTATCTGTAGCTAGTGGGTTTACAGACCTCGCTATTTACTTACGTTCATCCTCAGTTTAAACTAAATTGTTCTTTTAGCAGGTGCTGGTCCCATACGTTAGATTACCATTTCATTTTCTTGTTCCACCTGGACAGGTTCCTAGAGACATCTTCCTCTTTGTTTTCAGTATTTTTTGGCTGTAGCAAACCCGAGGTTTGTAAATGCAGCAGAGTCGGGTAGAAACCTGATTTGCAACTGCTGTGTGTGTTTTGTGCAACACAAAAGAAAACCGGAGGCATTGAGAAGTTGGGGGGACCAGACCTCACCCCCAGGATCCTGCCTGGTGTGAGCAGCCAGTGCAGGACTGGCACTGCTGATAGGGACGGGACCTGCAGGGACCAGAGGCACAGCTGGTGGCCATGGGGAGGCTGCAGTTGGATGGACAAGGGTGGAGTGGGACGTCCAGGGAGGAGTGGTGATGCTTAAGGTAGTTTGGGGATGCTCAGAGCAGGTTGTGGGTGCTCAGAGCAATGCAGGGATGCGCAGGGTAGGTTGAGGATGCTCAGAGCAATGCAGGGATGTGCAGGCAGGTTGGGGATGTCTGGGGCAGACTGGAGATGCTCAGGACACCTGCACAGTCTTCTCCCAGGTGACGCTTCTCTTGGTGCCCCTTGCCTGGTGGGGTTTTTATAGCATGGAGGGCCCCTGGCCGCCGCTCTGTGCAGACAGCCGTGCTGGGAGCTGGCAGGAGGTCCCTGCCATTGGCCTGGGGGACATGCGCTGATTGGCCCTGTGGCGCTGTTGCTGTGGCTGTGCCCGGGCTGACGGTGGGGCCTGGCGTGCGGCTCGTGCCTCCATGCACGGGAATAATTCTCCTTAATCCTTCCGAGAGGCATCGCTGGATGAGGCTGGAGCCTCCCTCTGGGAGCCCCGTCTCGCCTGGCGCGCAGAGCGGAGCAGGGGGAGGGACGGCCGCCATCCCACGGGCAGGGAAGCCTCCATGCCCCCAGCCACCTGCCCGCTGCTGCGTGGGGCTGTGGCCGAGCCAGCACCGCTCCTGTGCCCGCGCCAAGGGCAGAGAGTGCCGGTGATGGGTCTGGCTGTACACCCTGGCGAGGCATGTGTGGGGCAGAGGTGCATCACCCTGGCCGGGGCAGAGAGCCCTGAGGAGCACGCGCTGGTGTAGAAGCCGAGCTGCTTCTCCCACAAGGTGCAGAGCAAAACCCATGGGGGCCTGAGAGCCTCAGCCCCTGGGGACAGGAGGGGTGTAGGGGCAGGAGGTGGCAGTGCCCCTCGTATCCTGTCCCTCTGGGCTGGGCTGAGCCAGTAGCAAATGCCCTGCTGCCATTGTCCGGGCTGCAGCCACCCGCAGGAGCCCCACCACCATGGCACGGGGGCAGGAGACCAGATCCAGTGCCAGGGGGGCAGCTCGGAAGGTGCCCCAGGGTAGTGCTGGCTGGTGTGCTCCCCCGGAGCCCCGTGCTCCAGAGCCAGCGCTCATCCCCAGCCAGCAGCGATGGCTTCTGCCTGGAGCCAGGGAGGATGACGCCTGCCACCGGCCCGGAGCACCCGGTACATAAACACCACCCCGGGGATTAGGTCAGCTCTGGTCATTGCTCAGACGAATAAGTGGATCAGTGCAAGGGAAAGGAGGGGGAGGGAGCTCTGCTGAGCGGGGAGCTCGAGAGGGGACCTTTTAATTTAGGGGCTCATGGGGCCAGGAGCAGCCTTGGCACAGGCGCGAGGCTGGGCAGCGAGCACTGGCGCCCGGGGCGGCTGGGGACAGGAGGCAGCAGCCC